TATACGCTTGTTGAAAGAAAAAAATGCAACAAGCTAATTATAGATAATCCTCTGAACAGAATCTTTATTGTATTACTTCTAAATTCTAGGACCTATGTTCCATTGTTATAAAGATAATTATAACAGTAAAAAAAACAATTGCTCATAACAGTAATATTTTTACAGCCCACATAAATAACCGAAATCGCTTTTTATTTTACCAAAACACTGAACAAAATGTTACAAGCTCAACTTTCATGTTTAGCTAAATGTTTGAATTAAGGTAATTTCAATAAAATATCTACCACTTAAACTACATATACACATAAACATAATGTACATAACTTTATTTTCAAAGAAGAAATTAAAATGTATAATAGAAATTATGATTACAACATATTTTCATGAAGTCTTGATTGAAATAATTCATTTAAATTTTATTGAAATTTAATGAAAGGAATTTTTGAAATAAGATATTTAATATATCGCCATGAAAACATAAACAAAAATGAATTATTTCCAGTAAAAATACTTTATTCAACAAAAGACATCGGTGGTCTGACGAGGCAATGCAAAATGCCTCACAAGAAGTTCAAGGGATGGCACCATAAACAGCTGCAAAAGGTATTTCGTGTTCCGAACCGAAAATTAAGATGTAGACTGTCAGGAGAGTTATACGTGACAATAAACTTCGTCTTCGGCATGTTTTAAATCCAACTGAAGGAAAAGCTTTCCCACAGCACATTTAAAATTACATCAGTGTGATTTGGACTTTCGAAGAAACAGGTCAGTGGTCAGAAATGAGTTCTCTGAAAATGATTCAAGGCCTTTATGAGAAGAAATCTTGTATTAATTATCCAAAAATCTGAATTTCTGGGAGCTGCCTGAATACAATCGATGAACTTTTTATATTTTTGATTTACACAAAGTTCACGATGAAATCAACTGAGTGTTATAATAAACTACAACGTTTATATAACGTGGATGGAACATGCATTCTTCTTTGAGTATTCACATTCAGTGAAAGTTCTTAGTGTTTGGAGCAGGGTCTGCCTATCAAACGATTCGACAGAGATAAGTTCAATAATATAATTATAGTTTGTGATAACGGTTAGAGCTGATCGATTAATAATATTTGTTAATTGAAGAATCGACGAGCCCGTAAATAGAGTAGTACAATGTTAGTATAGCTTTAGTAGCTTTGCCATAAGACAGGATGTGCAAATTTGATGGCAATGGGAATCTAAACTAGGACCTTAGAATCACAAGGCCATGTTGGTCCAAAGCTAAACAACATTGAAATAAAAAACAAAACAAAATCTTATAGCACTAAAATCTGATTTCTATGCCTACAGCGGGTAGAGCACAGATAGCCTATTTTGTAATTTTGTACTTAATAACAAACGTAATGATGATATCTCGATTACTTGGATAGTTGGAATAACCTAAAGTAGTAATAACTGATTACCCTAGTTTGATTAGTTTATTATTTTTGTGGCATTAATTGATTTAACAGTAATTTTAAGGACTTAACTCTGAAATTGAGCTCGGTCATTTTGTCCGATCTCGTAACCACTAGAGCTGGTCGATTAGTGATATTTTAAGTTAATCAACATGCCTATTAATTAATTTCAGTCAATTAGCTCAAGGGGTTAGGAAACAATATGGCATGATTGCATACCACATCTCCTCCCCCATATTTAGACTTGCTTGCCTAGCTCTAACTTTAAAACTTAAGAAACAAGTAAAATGTCCCACACATAAGTCAATCATTATAACTTACTCTTAAAATATCTCTTAAAAGTCACAAAAAATTAAAAAGACAAACGAAATAAATTTTGTTTGTAATTAAGCACAAAGCTACACGATGGGCTATCTTTGCTCTGCCCACCACGGGTATCGAAACCCAGTTTCTAGCGTTGTAAGTCCGCAGACATACCACTGCGCCACTGGAGGACATGAAATAAATAAAATCACATGAAAAATAACTTTCTACATACATAAAATACAAAACAAAAACACAATATCAAAACAAAACACGAAACAAAACTTTTCAGAGAGTAAACACAGATTTCTACATATAGAATAATTAAAACACATATCTTACATACCCTCACCCCATCAAAATCGGTAGATAATATATTCAAATAACCCGTTAGAAAGTTACAATACACTCTGCGTCCTTCAGAGTGAATCTGCTTGGCTGGGCTGCTTGTAGTCAGCGAGGAGGTCACTGGTTACCAGTGTGGCCGCAGTCCAGTCCTTGGTAGTGGTCTAGACCTCTAGGGTGTTGGAATCCCAATAATCTTTCTGAAGCTTCAGTCAGATAGCGTATTTGACTAGTCATCTAGCATCTTGTCTTCTTCCATTGGCCGTGACTCCATCTAGCTGAAGATTTTATGCTATCTTCTGGAATCTTGGGGATTTTCAAGAATTCAGAGACATCTGGAAAATCTCCAAACAGATAATTCTCTACGTACTCACTCTCCTGAATTACTAGTTGCTTATCAATCATAACTAAACAATTAATAGATTACTTATGAGTAGCGATTACATCGATTATTGTCGCAAGAATAATAGTTATTGATATTAGTGTTTTCGATTATTATTATTTTCTGTTATTCCAACATTCAGTTAATTGAGATTATTATTAAATCTCTTGTCACGAAAATGATCAATTAAACGTAATTATTATATATCCATTTAATACTCTTTTTCAATTATTCCAACTATCCAGCATTCTAAATATTGCCATTATGGTTTTCATTATTATTTTCAATTAATTCAAGTTTCTAATCTTAATAGATTAGTGTCACAACAAACGCATACAACCAAGTAATCGAAATTACAGATCCCAGTGGTAAGTCTGTAGATTTATAATGCTAAAAATTGGATTTAGATATCCATGATGGGCAAAATACAGATAGCCCATTATGTAACTTTATGCTCAAATACGAACAAAAGATTATCACAATTATCTAAGTAATCGCAATTTTTTCATTACGTTTGTTATTCTCACTTTAATGTCAGGCATTACTGAGGCCTCCTCCACTAGTATCAGAACCGTTGTTGCAGGACAAGTTGTTTCTGACATGGTCAGAACTTTGTGGCTATTTGGAGGAACTTCGTGAAGATCTGGGTTCCAGACAGGGCCTCTTAGGCCTTGAGATTTGCTCTCAGCACATTTGGATGCATGTCAGGTGCCAGTGATCTTTCTCCACCTGGCGCCTGCCGATATGACATTTCATGATCCTCTGGCCTGTGTGGTTATCATACCCGATTATAGCATTTTTTTAAAGTTTGATCGACTGTGGTCAAAGGGCTCTTCATGTTGCTTTAATCTTGCAAATGAAGAAAAAGAATTGTGATGTTGTTAAGATAACCGACAGAGGTTAGAAAATACATTATGTTTCGAAGTAAAATAAATTAGCCAATGTCTTAATTTTTTATTCACTGTATGTAAGTTGTTGAAAAAATAATTCCGTTGTTTTAAGGTCGATTTATACCCTCTGAATATTATGTAACTGACGAAGAAAAATCATTGGCGAGATCTCGTTTAGATGGATTTAAAATAAAATCTATGCTTTGCCCTTCAATAATCCATGCAGCCGGATTGGAAGCTGCTCGGAATTTGCCATTCATTGATTATTGAATTTTCTTTTGTTTCTCAGAATCCTGCACCGAAGTCGTTTCTTCTTCTGGTAGCATTTGTACCATTGGTTGATTTTGCTGGTCATTACAAATGATAATAGAAGGTGCAGTAAAAAATGTATCTAATTTTTGCATAGATTTTAAAACAGTCTTTTTAGTTTTTCCCTTTGTTTTGCCCCTTTTCTGTATTCTGCCCCGCTAAGTCACTCTCTTCCATCCATCCTATATAAAATATAGTTATAATTTAAATATATTTTGTATGTAAAGTGAATGCTATAATCTTATCATGACTAGGAATATATGTATTAAATCAATTCATTAATAGAGTGATAATTTGAATGAATGAACTAATAAAATAATACAAAGATATATATCAATACTTTTCCATGATCTTCAAAATAAATTACTCTAAATGCAATACCTCAATATTAACTACTAAATGACTTCAATAACAATTCAATTTAAAACAAACGAATGGATAAATATGAAGAAGTATGGATAAATTTTCGTCAAATTCAACAGAAACCACCAAATGTCAGCTCAACTTAAAAAATAAATGTAAAATTGAATAACATCATAACTTTTCTACCAAAAATATTCCACCTGCCCCGTCATTCATCCAATCGTCCACAAAGGAAAAAAAGCTACCTGGATGTCTATTTGTTTTACAAACTTACACGCTGGAATGAGAAAAGAAAAAGAAATTAACTCCGTCTATTTACACGAACGAACAACATATTTGCACAAATAAGTTTGTACATGCAAGAAAACTTTCTAGATACCAATCGTAAGTGTACATTATCTATCGTCTGTTGATTTTGTTTGTTTGAAGTTAAGCACAAAGTTACACAATAGGCTATCTGTGTTTTGCGCACCGCGGGTATCGGGTATCGAAACCAGGTTTTTAGCATTGTAAGTACACAGACATGCCTCTGTGCCACTGGGGGGGCCGTCTGTTGATGAAATTCCATGTACAATACATACCATGATACCTACATAAAATTACTAACATTTCGCACACATACACTATGATCTTATACACTCCTACATGATAATTAACACTGGCACTGGTAAATACAATAAGAAAACAACATCCAGACAATTATTAGCTTTCATACTGGCACTACATTTCAACAATGCCAAAAAAACTCGTGATAAAGAAACAAGTGCCTAAATAAAAGTAAATCTGATATTATAACTTAAGACTAAATAGATAAAATTAAATCTGGTTCTATTAAATATATATATAGATATATATTATCACACTTTAAAATAGTATTGTATATGACAAAATTTTACCGCCAGTGATTATCCACGTGATCGCTCCAGAAATGAAGCCTTTGTATTAGTCACGTGATCGTTCGGCGCTCTCGATTGGTATCTTGATCTCGTGCGGCGGCCCCGTATTAGAAAAATTAAGTAAAAACATAATTCATCAAAATTTTGTTTGATGTTTCTTAAATTTGCCGCTCTAGGCAACTGCCTTCTCTGCCTATGTGTAAATGAAGCCCTGATTGTCATCAGGTACAAGTTGCTTTCCTAGACCAGTGGTTCTCAAACTTTTTCGTCAGTGGATCACTTCGGGGGGCCAAAGACTATGCAGACCACCTACACATCCTACCCCACCTCACCTGCTTTCGCTTGCCACCACAAAAAACTTATCAAAATTAATGTGAAGAATAGCGCTGATGTGACTTGCATTTTGGACCAACCCGCAGACCACCTGAGGACCCTCTTGAACCACACTTGAGAGCCACTGACCTAGACATAATACAAAGCAAATAAGTCACATGACTGGAGATTGCTTAAGACTTAATAAAGGTATCTTGTTGATGTTTGGTTCTTTCTTTAAAATTACGATTGTTTTTTTTTCTTTTTTAATAGTTATACTATCGTTTTATTAAGTTGTGGTGTTTGTAAACTTGAATTTTCTTTATTATGTTCACCAAATAAAACAGTCGTCAAATCGGATAACTACTATTTAGTAAGTATGGTAGGCAGTTGAAAATATTCTGGTGACTAATTTTTATTGAATATTATTTTTATGTTTATCCAAACAACGTACATAAATAAATAGTTAAAAGATTATTTCATTATTTGTAATTGCAATCGTGACATCTTTTAAATAAAAACATCATGACACTTGTGGGTGAGAGTAAAAGGTTTTCATTATTTAATAGCCCCCCCCTCCCAATGGCACAGCAGTATGTCTGCGGAC